TTAATACATATTAATAAATATTAATAAATATTAATAAATATTAATAAATATTAATAAATATTAATAAATATTAATAAATATTAATAAATATTAATAAATATTAATAAATATTAATAAATATTAATAAATATTAATAAATATTAATAAATATTAATAAATATTAATAAATATTAATAAATATTAATAAATATTAATAAATATTAATAAATATTAATAAATATTAATAAATATTAATAAATATTAATAAATATTAATAAATATTAATACATATTAATAAATATTAATAAATATTAATAAATATTAATAAATATTAATAAATATTAATAAATATTAATAAATATTAATAAATAATAATAAATATTAATAAATATTAATAAATATTAATAAATATTAATAAATATTAATAAATATTAATAAATATTAATAAATATTAATAAATATTAATAAATATTAATAAATATTAATAAATATTAATAAATATTAATAAATATTAATAAATATTAATATATATTAATAAATATTAATAAATAAATATTAATAAATAAATATTAATAAATAAATATTAATAAATATTAATAAATATTAATAAATATTAATAAATATTAATAAATATTAATAAATATTAATAAATATTAATAAATATTAATAAATATTAATAAATATTAATAAATATTAATAAATATTAATAAATATTAATAAATATTAATAAATATTAATAAATATTAATAAATATTAATAAATATTAATAAATATTAATAAATATTAATAAATATTAATAAATATTAATAAATATTAATAAATATTAATAAATATTAATAAATATTAATAAATATTAATAAATATTAATAAATATTAATAAATATTAATAAATATTAATAAATATTAATAAATATTAATAAATATTAATAAATATTAATAAATATTAATAAATATTAATAAATATTAATAAATATTAATAAATATTAATAAATATTAATAAATATTAATAACTATTGATAGATATTAATAAATATTAATATCTATATTAATAAATTCTTCTACAAACTGAACTGAATTGAGTTTAATATCGGCACCCAAAAATCGATACAGATCAGTTGTTAGTTTAAAATTATTATTTGTAGAGATTGGTGTAAGTATAAAACTTGTAGATATTTCAGTCTTCTCCCTACCCTAGACCATAACGTCGGTAGTTATTACATGGCATCAAAGGGTGCGACAGATCAAAGCCACGCGCGAAAGCAACCAAAAATTATTTTCCTAGATCTAAAAAATATATATTATTTTAACATAGTTAATATTGAAAAGTTGCCGACATGTTGGAATTGTTAGCTCGAAAAAGTTATTTTTTTTTTAATATAAAAACTCCTATACGATGTAAAGGTTATATAAAAAATAGATTTATAAGTCATATCTCACTGTATACCGGGTGTTCAAATTAAAGTGTTACAGTTAAATACCGCCGAAAATAGGCATTTTAGAAAAAAAAAGTTTCAAACAAAAGTTTTATAGTTTTTTTGGGGGAAATATTTTGGCTAAATTAATTTTTTTATAGCTGACCATATCGAGGTGGACTTTGTTTTTTTAAACGTGAATCCCATTTTTTTACATATTCTTAAAGTACATAAAAAATAAGAAACTTTTGATGGAAATATTTTTTTTATTGGACTTTTACTTTTTGAGTACCAGCTACTTGAAAATTTTGCTGGGCGAAAAAAAAGTTGACCATATTATGGTTAGCTTTTTGAACACCTCGTATATCTTCTAAATTAGCATACATTAATAAATATAGTTAAGGTAAGTAAAAAAATATGTATCAACGAAATTATTGTATGTAGATAGTATATTAAATAACAAGTTTAGAAAAGTAATGTTTTACTAAACAAATATAGCTTTTGAGTAACTTAAAAGTTATATGTAAAACATCAGTTAAATATATAAATTAATTGTTTTTATTCACAAATATTAATTCCTTAAAAATCGAAAGAGAGATGACACTTTATAGAAAAATTTTCCAATGTGTTTCGTAGCACTTTTTAAATTTAAATCAGTAAAAAAAAATACAAAACTATAGACCTTTTTTAATTATTTTCTCATTTTTTTAGGAACAAAAAGAAATCGAATTTTGACAAAGTGGCTCCAGTTATCCTTTATTTACACATACATATTTGTTTTATAAAATAAACTTTAAAAGTGGGGTACTACGAAATCCTTGTATACTGCTCCGACGCCAAGTAAATTCCTCTTAAAAAAAGTAGAAGACTAATAACTCATGTTCCTTAGACAATTTTGAGCGGAGTATATCAAATTACGTTTTTATTACACAAACTTTCGTATCTTTTCGAAATAGTACCTACTTATTTTTCGACCGTAAATTGACCGGGTGGTTTTAAAATTGGTAGTCTCAAAAACAAACTCTAAATAAATGTGTGTATCCTGTTACAGTCATAAAGTTTCGGGACCTTGCCTCTTGACGGCGTTCACTAGTTTTCAATTTCATCACGAATGTAGGTATACTATACAGGTTGTCCATTGGACGGATTTAGTTAAAAATTGGTAAAAATCTAAAATATTGCCAAAACATGCCATAATAATTAAATAAAATATACATTATTTATAATTCTTTTATTATTCCACATTATACTGAGTTGGTTTGCATAACATAACATAAAAATGTGTACCTATTCTAGTTCATTTTCATTCATTAATCACTTGTTCTATCAGTTGCGGCTAGTGGCCAAAATATTAGGGGTTCATAATGATAAAATATAGATCTGAGGTAAAAACGTTTAGAAAGGTATAAACACTGAACGTTTTTTTACCCAAATCTGCACTAAGATTTATATTGTCATTGTGAACCCCAATATTTTGGTCACAAGTTCTAATTATCGATTCTTATCCATAATATCCTATTATAAGTTCGTCAACCTTTAATATGCTATATAATATATGCTATGTATATCGATGTAACTACGTCCATTTTTGTGTCATAGGCCTCAACTACTTTGGTTATTAGCATCGTGTTCTGGGTAGGTTCTATTACTGTTTCCCAGTGTCACTTTAGAAACAGCACCTACGTCCTTATTATTTATTTTGTAAAAAATTGATTTCAATAATTGTAAATCTAGAGCAGAAATGGGTGTTGGTACTAAACAGACTGAAATTGATGGTTATTAAAAATTATTTGTTAAAAACCAGCAGTGTTCTTTTAGTTTGTAAAATATTTCGACCTTACCTCGTATTACAGACATTAGACACACATACCCATATCCATTTATCCACCCATGATCCACCCGCACACGCCTATTTAGAATTTTATTTCTGTTTGAGTTAGCATCAAAAAGAATAAAATAAATATTTGTTTCATAGAAAAGGTAAAAAATTATAAAAATGGTTTTTATTAGGAGGCAGGTAGACAAAAATATAAACAAACTGAGATGATATTAAATAAATAACCTTTTTTGTTAAATAAATAGAAATAGCTAATTATGTGTAAATATTAAGGGCTCATTTCGTTGTCGCTTGGGATCTTGAAGAAGGTATTGCAGCAACAATAAAAAATGTCTATACTCCTCTATTTTACTTTAGAAAATAAAACTTACTTATTACATTTTTAATTAGTATAAACATTATTTAAATAATATAAGTAAAAAATAAAATAATATTTACAGATGTAAGACATTTTTAGAAAAAAATTTATTTTATAAGGGATTTTTAGAACATTTTGACGCTATAAGAAATCTATATAAAACCAATTTAATTATGAGTATTAAAACTAAAAAGTTAGGAGTCTCGATAGAGCTGAGGGTAGCTTACTGAGTTACCATACGAAAGAGCCGGGGTTCAAGTTTACAAATTAGTAAAAGTCATACATTATTTTTAAATTAGATATTTTATCTTAATAACCCAAAATAATTTTTAGTGGGTCGTAGAAAAAATATAATGTACAGCTCGAGTGGATTCAGATGATTAAGCACGGCATCGTGCTTAAATTTCGCTTAGGCTCTGATAACACTGAACTATGAAAATTGGCGATGTGAGAACAATCAAATCTGTTATGCTTTACTACCTACAGGTGTTTCGTATAAAGTAAGTTTGGATCACCCCTCACTTATGGACTATCCTGTATATTTCAGAATAATTTAAAATATAATCGTACAACTGTTGTATTTAAAATTTTCTCTAATAATAAAACAGCTATCAATCAGTTGAATTTGTGGCAATTTATTTGACCTCAGTGAACTTTTCTAAACCCCTCGTACATGAAGCCAAATAAAAAAATACATAATAAAATCTATTATGTGGAAGCAATAATTGATCAAACCGGACAAAGTATCAACGTTGAGCGGCCATCGGGGATATACTTGTGATGAATTCTAATCGCTTCATTTTCCTATTGTTGTAATATTCATTCTTAAGCTGCACGGGAATACCTCAAGCATACTAAGTAGATGTAGCTTAAGTATGCAGAAATAGTTGGACGTCGACTTGCATCTTAACTAACAATGATATTTGAATTGCCTGTTAAGTGACATCCGGTTTTGGTCCAACTTCTAGTGGAAAGGTCTACAGGGGATTCAATTATACGGCGTTTAATGAACAAAGCATTCCACTTGATACACGTGGTTTTAAATTGATATTCCTTATCGAAGTAAAGTAAACGATTTTACTTAAATGGCATTTTATGAGTGTGTAAAAGAACTTAACTATTATTTCTTCTTAAGTAATTCTATATTTGTTATTAGTTTAAACATTTATCAATAATAAGTTTACTGACTTCATCGAATTTTCTTGGTACTCGTAAAATTGGAGGCCGTAAGAGGTCTAAATAAGGCAAATGGTTCGAACGATAGTATTATAATGATTCAAAGTATTTAAACTATAACCTTATAGATGGTATCATTAAAATAGTCCCTAAAATACTGTTTATCTCCATTTAATAGCCTGGTTTACGAATTAACATCCTGTATTATTGAAGTGATTTGCCATTTTTAAATACATACCTTAAAAGTCCTGTTGAAATTTCCGATTAAAGAATGCTTGACAGGTCCACCATTGTATGCAATGTTTGACCTGGAAAGAGAAATAAAATTTTTTACAATAAGTTTAAAATAAAGGCCACAAACAAAACAGTAAAGTGTTGCTATTTGTCATGTTGTAAATTGGTTATACCAAGACATAAGATTTTTTCTTTAATATGCATGGTTTGTTGTAGTATTTTATAGGTGGTGTATTAGCAGTAATTCATTTCTATAGATTAATCTAAAAGCTAAACCCAGTGGATTATCGGGTCTACCCAACAAACAATTACTATCGGCATGTCTATGGCTCTTTATTGGTTTGCTTATGGTTATCTCTGTTAGCCCAACAACTATTTGCCTCCTGATCGACACTTCATCACTTGTTTAATGGGAAGCCAGCTATAGTCTACCACCAGCCCGAAAAGTTATTTTTTTTTTATAATTATTCGCTTTCAAAATGTCGTGATTGTAACCTAAAAAGAAATAAAATCCCACTTTTGTAAAACCATAAAACAATGGCGGCTGATGAGGGAGGGCGCTGTGGCGCCGCCCTCCCTGGAAAGTGGCAGAAGTCATCTGAAAATTAGTATTTCTATATACTTAATCAGTAATTTTATTTAACTCCTCCTAAATTTATTAACAACAAAAGAGTCAATCACAAATAAATGCAATAATAAAGTTTGTGAGCGAACAATTTAATTAGCTACGGACGAACCGGACCTGTACAATATGAATAATACGGTTTTTCTTTATCATAAATGCGCTTTGTCCCCCTCTTATTTTTGCTAAAAATTTTAAGTTGATAGTGGTGTTAAATAAAGTATCATTATATTTTTCTTTGAAAGAATATCCTGGAGAACATAAAATTTGTGCATTAGGGGTCTTAGTATATTACTAACATGGACAATATGCTCAGACCAACGTATGTAAGTCTCTTTTTTTTATTGAAAGTATTAAACCCGTTGTTATCCAAGGTTTTAGTTTAATTATATTTTTTGTTTTAATTGTAGATTTAGTGCATTTTCAAATTTGTCGATTTAGCTTATTGAAAAATAAATCTTTTTGTGGTTCAGCCGTATTAATTACATCATTCCATTTTCTCTGCTTAAACAATGCTTTAGATTATCAAAATTTATCATGGTCACTTTGTTTTTTGATTGGGGTTCCCCATTTTTTTGTATAGGAAAAGATATTAATATAAAAGGAGAAGTATTCCCAGTGGTGCGCATATAAATACAATTTCATATTAGAAAATCTTTTTTGGCTTTTCGCTGTTACAATCGGAGATGCTACGTCATATTTTTTCAGTCATTTCCAACTTCCTGTTGTTTACTCGAATTATTTTAGTTAAAGCAACACGTTCAAGAGTTGAAATTAACTCGATGTATGTTTACTTTCGGAATCAATTGTTAATCAAATTCGAAGTTAAAAATACGATTTTCGATTAAATTGACCTTCAGTATTTTGCTACTGCAATCGATCTATCCACCAGGTGTAATCCGTTATTCTATTTTTAAATGAGTTGCTTATACCAGGTCAACAAAATCTGAAGCTTCTTTCTATCACTATGTTTCAACTTAATTTAAGACAATTTTTTCATAGACTTATAAGTTTGAATCAAATTTAATTTTTACTAACTTTTTTATATAATGATATAAGAGTAGGTATCAAAGATATTTTCTTAATACTTGCACACCTTCTACTATCTATAATTTTAATTTTCTTTCTGCATTCCTCTTATTTAGCAATTTAAATAATAATATATTATAAAAAGTCCTGTTGTCAATCATCGATTACATAAGTAATTAAGAAAATAAGCACATTTCATACATGATATTAAATTCATGCTAAACCTTATTCAATTATAAAATATTTTTATAATGGGGGATTAAAATTCTTTTTTTTAAGAAAATTATGCTAAAAAGGCAATGAGTACTGACAATGGCCCCTCCTGTCATTCTTGTTAATCAATACTGACCTTAACGCTTGTCAAAAGCACACAAAAATAATTCAACGCTAACGAAGTCAAGGCCCAACCATCCATCAAGGAAGTTGTTACAAAAAAGAATACTTTAGTTATCACTAGATCATCGTCAGTGTCAGAAACGCCTAAGAAGTCAGTGAGAAAAGGTGGATCCATAAAAAATAACAGTTATATTGTGTATCTTGTGCACATCCGGTGCAACAACGTCATAAGTGCAAAAATATTACAAAGTGACTTTTTAGTCACAAAATACGCCTAATCTGCTTCTACATCTGGTACAGCAATGTGGTAAATATAACATACAATAAATGAGCAATTATTCAATCATTTAACTTTTAATACATTTCAGTTTATGACGAGCAAAACTTTCAAATGGGTCCCTTGTAAAAATTATCTATAAAGAACCATCATATCTTTTGAATAAAATACAATTTAGATCAGACGTACACCATATCAACGTACGTTTTCACTCTCAATCCTTTTCTTATAATATGACCAGGTTTCCAAGACATCTTCTTACTTGCTCATTGAGTACTATAAAAATTAAAATAAAAAACATGCTATTTACTAATGAACTAATATTCTAGACTTGTGCTTTATATTTTCGTTATCTCTTTATATTATTATTTCTGCGTCATTAACATGGTATGACTTGAACTTAGCTTGTTTTTATCTAGCTTATTATTATCATTATTATTATTATTATTATTATTTTTAATTAGTTTAGTTAAATAGGTTGAGTGGAAGAGAGGACTTACCCTTGCTTGCAAGGATTAGACTTAACTCTGCCTTTTTGGCAAATACTGTATTATACCTATCTGTATTTTGTTTTTTTTTTTTTGTTCTTTGCCAGTAAAAGCTTTTATTATTATTATTATTAATTGAAATTGTTGACCGTCATCTCGTTCTATTATAAGTGTCAAAACGAAGAGAAGTGGCTTATATTGAATTCTTTATCAACTAATAAACATGCCTATATGTTAGACCTGTCAAAATTCTGCAAACGCCATGACCTTCGTGACTGGTCGCTGCGTAACTCAAAGCAATTCTTTTTTGGACAGTGCTGCATCCAAAGCTAAACGCGACCCTGTATATACTTGAGTAATTAAATAAATACAATAATATTTAGTTTATCAACCCCAGATAGAACAAGATACACATAGCACGTAGATAAATAAAAGAAATCTTATAAACAAATAGATTACTCAGCAAAAAATATAAAAGAGGAAAATTATCAAGCAAAAATTACTAATACTAATATAGTACCCAACCTCAAAATGGATATGAGTCCTTGATCATCTTCAATTAATAATACTTCGATATAAATGAGCTAATCAACGAATGAGTTGTGTCGTTTGCAGAAACATTAGTTAAAATTCAAGTTGATTATAATACGGGATGTTCGCGAAATACATTTAAATATTTAGATCATGTTAAAAAAATATTAAAACAATAGATATGGTTAAAAGGAGTTTTAATTTACGATAAGGATGTGAAAAATTGGCGGATTGGAACAGAAAAACAAACTATTTAAATCCTAGACTTCTTTCCCATTAGATTGTACATTTTCAATATGCATCGAATTTTTTAATGTCTGCAAACTCGATACCACATATTTATTAGACAAATAAGTATGACCAGTTTCGGCTCAACGAAGTCATCTTCAAATCTATAATACAAAAATAGATTTACAATACTAGGAAATAAAAAACAGCAAAATACAAGAAAAACAATATGGTAAAATATACATCAACATGGATCCATGTTGATGAAGATAATCAATACTGGTTTAACAGAATAAATTATGTGTGGTATTAAAAATTGTAAAGGTTAACATACTAAAAATCGAAAATAAAAGGATTAACATAAAAAATGGATAAACTGTTACTTATTTTAGAATAATTTTTTATGTACTTGGGAATTAATGGGATATTTCGCATAACTTCAGTTGTGTATACAAATTGTTCAAGTTAATAAACAATATGTTTTGAAAATGTCTCGAAGTTCGTTACAAATGTTTGCATCATAACAAGCTGTATTGATCATAAAAATGAGTTATTTCTTTCAAAATATCCGTCTCAGTATTTTTAAAACCATTGATATACGTTCCAGTAAAAATTCTTTTTAACACTTAGTATGATTATCGAAAATTATACGAAGCGTTCTATTTTCAAAATTGTTTTTCCAATCTTCGATTAATGATTCGAGGAAAACGCACGTATATGTAGTTTGAATAAAATTACTGCTAAACGCTTTTTACTCAAGAAGGTAGTCATCATGTTTAAAAATAAATTAATATGAAATAAAATGTAGACAAATATAATATAGATCAAATTTGCGCAGTTACTTTTATTTATTAGTTACTTTAATTTAATTACTTTAAAACACTAGTCAGAATTAAGTCGCTATATTATTTATTATGATGAAAACAGAAAGAGAGTGAAGTAATAAAATGCCATAAGTATAATATATACGCTTTCGACAATAAATACGAGGATAGATATGAAAATTTCTAGAACAAGACGAAAAAACTTAAAATTGTATTAATTATTATTAAATAACGTTATCAAATAACGTTACCAAATGACTTTATCAAATAACATTATTAAATAACATTATCAAATAATATTATTAAATAACATTAGCAAATAATATTATATTATCAAATAATATTATCAAATAAAATATCAAATAACATTATCAATAAACATTATTAAATAACATTATCAAATAATATTATCAAATAATATTATCAAATAATATTGTCAAATAATATTATCAAATAAATAACATCATTACCATTATCAAATAACATTATTAAATAATATTAAATAACATTATAACATTAGCAAATAATATTATCAAATAATATTATTAAATAACATTATAACATTAGCAAATAATAATATCAAATAACATATCAAATAACATTAAATAACATTATCAAATACATTATCAAATAACATTATCAAATATTATCAAATAACATTATCAAATAACGTGATAAAAGAAAAAATATGTTGATAAAAGGAGGTGTACACAATGTTTTGAATGTGTTTTTACCCCTCACAAACAATCGACCACCAGATTCATTGAATTTATTCGTAGTTTTTTGTCCCTATATTTGGTGTAATCTTAATTCTAATCCTCATTGTACTAAAATAATAAATGAGGGCTAGAAAATAGGAAATAGTTCCCCTATTGATCTTATATCGGAACATTATTCAGTACAGATTATTAAATACATTGACATCGAATTTAGGTTTTTGTGATAAAGGTGTGATTTATTATTTTGATTAATAACATCTTTTTTAAATGGTTTTATTTAGCTTGATATTGACCTGTTTGTTGTTGTTATTATTGTTGGGTCAAATCTAGTAATTACAATTTTACCCCCTTCCTGTTGACCGATTAATCTGAAATTGATACACACCTATAGTTCTGAAAGGGCTTGACTAGTAGAATGCAGTAAAAAACCAATTTCAAGATGGCTACCACCACAAAATGGCGGATTTCATATTTTATCCCCTTCCTGTTGACCGATTGATCTAAAATTTAATACACACCTTACCTTAAGTTCTGGTGACAATACAATTTTATATATTCAATATCATTGTAAATTCAAGATGGCCGCCTACCCAAAATGGCGGATTACAATTTTTTTAACCCCTTCAATATGGGTATCAAATGAAAGGGCTTGACTAGTAGAATACAGTACATCATAAAAAAAACAAATTCAAGGTGGCCGCCATCACAAAATGGCTGAGTTCATATTTTCAATACCCTTAATATGGGTAATGGGTATCAAATGAAAGGGCTTTAGAAGTAGAACACAGTGCATGGAAGATCATAGAGTTTAGACAGTCTATACATTTAAAATGAAATCTAAGTATCTAATCAAAACAACTCAGACAGCACAAATAGGTCCATTCGACGTCCATATATAAATTTGGATGTCTGGACGTCCACAGATGAGTTTTTTCTGGACTTCCGAAGTCCAATGGACATCCAGTGAAGTATACAAATGGCACACTTTTGACCGTTCATAGGACGTCCAATTCTGGATTATATTTGGACGTTCAACACTGGAAATTCAAAATCAAAAAACGTTCATTCCTGGATTATATATTCCATTGAGACCACATCCCTTACATTTTTTACACCACCGCAACTCACCACACACTATTTTATAATAATGATAATTTATTTATTATTTTCGCAACTCGCTATACACCGTTCATTAATTTTTTTTTTATTAAAAATTACTTTACCAGAGCAGGTATCGAACTCACGACACGTCTATTGTCTATCTGGACATTCAAGCGCTAGGCGACATCGACCAAGGAGCCACTTGAAAAATTCTTACTATATAGATTCGGTTATAATAGAATAAGATTTCAAACTTCCGCTGAATTTTATTAAAAATATAAAAATATACATAGATGGGTATTATCTGGTAGTCTAAATAAATAATGACCTAAGATGGACGTCCACTGGACGTCAAAATAATACTAAACTTAAAATTAAGTCCAAAAACAGACGTTCTCTGGACATCGATATGCAGCTGTCAAATTAATGATCATAAACGGACGTACACTGGATGTCCGAATACGGATATGGACGTTCTGAGCCTCAAATGTACCTAAAATGGACGTCCATTGAACTGTTTGTGTTGTCTGGGAAAGAACTTCATCAACTTAGAATCAGGATTCAAAGATGGATCTCCCACCCAAGTCAATATTTCTTATCGTGTCGAGGACTGTGTGGCGTTAGGGTGGCTGAAAATGATACGTCGTTAGCTGTACACCACCCAAATTATGATAAAAGGACCACACGAAATACAGATAATTTGAATTTAGCTAATATAATACCAACAGACATAAACAAAAATGGAGGCTTGCCAACAGAACTTAAAATACTTGTAGGAGTAAAAGTTATGTTACGGTCCAATATTGACGTTTCGAAGGGAGACCAGTGGTTCTCAAACTTTTTTGGTGACAGAACCTTTTTGAAAAGTAAAATATTTGAGGGAGCCCTAAACACATTTCGGAAAAAACTCCTTGCTCTAACCTCTTGCTAGGTCCCTCACGTTTCTTTGTGGAGCCCCTACAACAAAATTCTCAAAATGTTTTAGCTTTTAGTGCATTATTTACATATCATCATTATCTTCTTTTCAATAAAATTGTTTACCTATTTTTTTAATGCAAAAATCAATGTTCAATTTATTTATTTCAATAAACATTAAAACAAAATATATTTGTATTATTATAGTTTCACAAAAATGTATTTATGGGTCTTCTACAAATATGAAGGAATTTTTGCATATTTTGAAAAACTTAGTCCTGTTGAAAACAGCTCTTCTCCACCAATGTAATATTTATAAATTCGAACCAATCTAATAAACGTACCTACAAGTTAGAAATTAGAGAGCGCTGTTTAATTCTTCTTAGAATTTTTTTGAAAAAAATTGCGTGGGTCTTTACATTTATGTTTACATCATAAAATAGTGAATTAATATTCTAAATATGGTAGATATTATTTAAAATGATTAATTATTGTAAGATTTAAAAACAAGTAGTGGGTTATAGAAATACAATAAAGTAGACCTATGTCAAATTTATTAAACCCGTCATCCCGATTTTGTGCTTCTACGTTTTCATTTCGATTAATATTTGAATTTAAAATTTACTGAATAGTTAATTTAAAAATGATTTTAATACAAGATCCTCAGACATTGATTTTTTTATTAGTTTTATTATGCTGTTTCCTTTTTTGTTATTTTAATTCACTATTTTCTAGTGTAAACATAAATGTAAAGTTCCACGTAAGTTTCTTTTCTAAAATCGCTATCTTTAGTTCAAGTTAGCACTTCTAATTATTCAAAAAATATATTAATGCATAAAAATCGCGAGTAGCGCACGAAAATTGCACAAAATTTGCAAAAAATTATAGATAAGGTGTCCAAAGTTTGTGCTAACTTTATATAGCTAACATTTTATGAGCAAACACAAAAAGTACACTTTCTAGTTACATTTTTTGTGTTATTTTCAATTAGGTTTTTAAAAGGATTTTAAAAATTTTGAGTACTTAAGAATTTATGATTTTTTAGCTAGGACTTTAATCATTTGGACAGTTACAGAGGAAAATGTGGGATAATTTCAAAATAATATACAGGGTGGTTTTTTAGAAAAATCGCCTAAGAAAGCTATAGAATAAATATGGTATATAATGTAAAACCAACTTTTAATATTTACCTTAGTAAAACATTTAATTATACATATAAGTATAATTACAAATTATAAAAAACGATAGTTTTAGAAATCATTGGCTACTAATGTCCAATAATCGTTTTCATAAAGAGCCGAATGAAATTTGGATGTGCTAAAAATTGCAAATTAGTGCCATTTCAATACGTTTACCAATGTACCTTTAAAAATACTATTGACAGAATCATCAAGCAAAATTCCTGGTCACTAGAAACGCAAACTTTAGTCAAATATTCCAGACGATCCAAAAATAAATCCAATACCGTCTGCTAATACATCATTTATTATTTATTATAAAAATTTTAATGTTTCGCGTTCTATATATACTTGTAAAATTAAAAACTCAAGTTCACTTACCCATTCGTTTATTAACCAGAGCTGCGAGATCAGAAAACTTCACTTCTATTTTAATCCACAAGTAGCACAAAACTGATAAACAAAACCTATTTTAATGCGGGTATATCTGAATCTGATCCTGTGAATGGAGTTCTCACACTACTATAGTTCTTACGCACTAAACTCAAGTGTAAATCTGTAGGCGTACAACTACAACATAACTGAAAGACTCTGGAGTTGAGACTGGAGTGCCGAGTGCCGCGAAAGCTCGCGTCTTGGTTTAACATTCAAGAAGTCTATTTTCTAACACTCGCGGTCAGTTTGTACTTAGCGATGAATAAATCGTTCCCTCTCCGTAACAGATGTTTAACTTTGCAATCTCAAATTTGTTTATTAAGCTTGACCCTTCCAGAGAATTATACCTCAGTTTAATTTAATAAAGTTGTTTTGACCTAGTTGAGGCGGCTAGAACAAACTTAAAATTATATATATTAAGAGTAGCTGTGCATTTTAACTTTAGTGCATATTGCTCGATATTTCAATTTGTGTTATAGACACGCAACCAAGTTCTAAATAAAAATTATATGGATTTAAGAAATGCATATTTTAAAAACATTTTTGGATGTACAGGGTGTTGCGCTTTAGCCTGGCAAATAAAAATTTATAGCACCCTCTGAGATCTGCATTATTCTCTAATTTCACAAAATTGCTTGACAACCCTGTAATATTTCTTAAAAATATTCTTGAGTTAAATACAATATAACCAGACTGTTCTAAAACAGAAGCAATATACAAGGTGTTTTATTTAAAAAATAAACAATTTTATTGCCCGTGAAAAAGCATTCGGTATATCCAAAAATATTTTTAATATTTATATTTTAATATTTTTAAAGCAAGACTATGTGAAGAGTATAATGAGAATTTACTTGAGGAATCACGAATCCATCTTTTTTTCTCTCCTGATTTACTTGATTTATTTTTATCCTACAACAGAAAAAACAGCTTATTAAAAATTATATGTATATCTACATTTTGTTAAATATTTTCAATACTTTTATATTCTAGGCATACTTTTTTATAGTTTTACTGCGAGCCTCCAGTCTCATTTGAAGTTGGCACAATCAGTAAAATTTTGTTTATCAGAATAAACTTATTTATTATTGCTTGGATTAAATTATTAACTTATCAATAAATCTAAAATTGAATATTATTAAGCAATATAATAACAAACCCCCTTAACGCCCTATTTTTAATCAAAATTCTTTAAGACTCAATAAGCTTCATCACCTTATAGAGCTTGATCTTTCTGAAGATTTCAAGTTGATATCATTTTTTGTTTCTGAGGATTTTTTTCATTATTTCAAAGTTGGCATTCCTATGAAATTAAACAGAACAGAGACATTAAAGTAATGGTTAGAGGTCTACCATCTACATCTAAACCAGAAGATATTGTTGAAGACTTGCAAATTCAAGGATTACAATGTAAAGAAGCTGTCAATATAATAAAGAAGGAAATAGAATTAACCGAAAATAACATTCGTAAACTAAATAAAAAATCAATGCTGCTATTCATGCTATCCTTCAAAAATATTAAAGATATCGAGAAAATCTACGAAATCAAAGCAATCCTTAATCTAAGAGTTAGAATAGAAACAATAAGAAAGTTAAAACTAGTTCCGCAATGCAAAAACTATTTGGACATACACACAACTTTTGCAAAAGAGAATGAAGATGCGTAAAGTATCTAGGAAAAAAACATCATACGAAGGATTGTGTACAAGGCCCCAGGACAATTCTCTAGATCGGGCCCCTTGACAATTTTATAAATATTCTCTTCTCTTTACTTAAATTTCAACAAAAAAAAGCTCTTCAAACAAAAATTTTTCCTCCTCTAGTTGAATTATTTCCTAAAATAAAAAGCTCTTTAAACAAAAACTTTTCCTCCTCTACTTGAATTGAATTTCCTAAAAAAAAAGGTCTCCAACCTAAAAATTGTCTTGTGCCGAACTTGGATACCGCTGCCGGGCCCGCATTTGAGTCCGGGCCCCGGGAATTAGCCGGCAACATAATCCGCTCTACGGTTAAAAAAAAATTGCTTTTATGCTTATCTTATCCACACATAGTACACATTATTTGTCCATTTCATTAAAATTGTCAGCTTTAATTTTAAGTGTTTTGAACACATTGGAGACTTTCAAACCTGTTGGGATGTCTATCCCAAGTAATAAGATTCTAAGGGAAATAAAAAAAGATTTATTATTTAGTTGTCTTAACAAGTAGTCATCACAAATTAGATTATCTAAGTTTCTGAGGGATTAAAAGCATTATAATTTTTTAAATTAATCTTATTTTCGATTGAAGAACTGGTTCTTGGTCGTAGAAAAAATAGGGTATGCAACTCTTACGTAATGGCTATTAATACATGATCGTTGCATAATATACTATTATTAAGATATACCCTAAGTACAGTGGGACAACCCACCCTCCCTCAGATTAAAGATACAGAAAATATCCCTAAGTAACAGTTAATTTAAAACACCCTTTGACTTATATATATATTATACTTTATTTATATTACCTTTCAACATCTTGAGGAAATCTGTAAAATGAATGTGCACCGATATAAGATTAATTTTTGCAGTCTTTATAACTACAAACAAATCCAGCTTTTTTTTGTCTTCTTCCATAACTCAGACTGTCATTAAAGCACAACAAAATCAGAAAATAGTCAACAATAAAAATATTTAAGCAAAATAACGGAATAATAATAATTTTTCTAAACTCTCATGGATATCCATTCTACGCACAGATTACAGTATCTATTTAAATTTACCTATTATCGATTAGAGAAACTTCAAATTTTTATCACCCTTAAAAATTTTATTGGATAATTTTGGTTCACCTTGTACCTATATTAAATTAGTATAAGAAAGAAACGTAAATTGCCGTACATACATATATAATATTTGTTACAAGTTATAGTATTACTTTAATACCTATAAGTATTAGAGATAAAACATCGAAAATATCACATTTGGAAAATAGCATAAAACAAATAAAATCAAAAATACATTTTAATATTTTAAAAAATCTGGACATCCCGTATAAACTTTGTCTTGTCTTATATTTTTTGTACCCATCTCATTTCAACTTTACAATTTCTGCGCGAATAAACAAAGATGTTTACCTAAATAAAGGTTTTTGACAAGTCGCCTGCTATGATTTCGTAAATTTAACAGATAGGAAGGTACGCACAAAAAACAAATTATTGACATTAATTGTAACATGGCAGCTTGTGGCGTCTAAAGTGAAGTTTAATAAGAACATTTTCAAGAAAAAATATAATAATTTATCTTAGAAATGTGAAAAATCAGTTATCTTATAGTGATTTAGTTACTAGGTAAGCAATTTTTTTATTTAAAGCTGTGTAACTGTCAAAATTTTCTGGAATGCAGAATCTTAGGGTTACTTATGACACCTTTTCGTATTTATAATCATTAAAACACTGATACTACAGGTCTAGTCGTAATAAATATCTCTAAAAATAATGAGTTGGTAGTTTCTAATGAGTTGACAAATAAGTTTGCTTAGATTTTGCAAAATAAGTGGTTGGTTTTAGCAATATCTGATTAGTGAATAGGTAGGTAGGTACCTACCTATAGAATCAGAATTATTACAAAATTTAAAAGGTTCAAAATAATATTACAATGATTAGTATCATTGTAAGTACCTATAAGGTATGATTATACAGGGTTTTTCAAAATTCATTTGTGCTTATTTCTCTGCGATACACAAATACCGGTATGCTATAATTTCGAATGAATTTCGCATTTACTACGCATGACGAGCCGTAGCAGACAGCAAACAAAATTTCATTCTGCTTTTAATTAGGATTAGGTTTTAATACGGTTTTAATTTTAATAATAATTAAAGATGTTGGATAGAAGAAACAAAATGATAAATATTTTTTTTTTGAGATATTATTTCGCTTTTGAACTTTTCATTTTTGAAGCGTTGTTGGGTAGGTACCTACAAAACTAATGAATTTTATACAGATTGTCTTAAGACTTGTAATTTTAAGCTCAATTTTTTCAATTTTTCGAGAAATTTGACAAAATGTAAAAAAATCAAATATTTATGAAAATTGTTCATATAAAAGTTATTTGTGATATAATTTTCTATAATTCTTGTCCTATACATAATTTATCTAAAATGGACCGTATTCGAGATATTTGAGAAAAAGTGTAAATTCGAATTTTAAAGAAAACTCAAAAACTGATAAAGAAAAACACATTAAATTTTAAACTTATGCTTTATTCCGACCTGAGGTGAACTTATTAGATTTTGGGCAGAGTTGGTACATCTGGGGGGTACTTTGTAGGGGGTTATTTTTATATTTTATGAAATATATCTGTTATTTACGTTTGGAGAAGAAAATTCTTTAAATAAAAGTATTTCTAATATTATTCTCTATAATTTTTGTTCTATACAAAATTTTCTTAAAATGGTCCGTATTCGAAAAAAATTTCAAAATGTAAAAAGTTCTGATTTTTAAGAAAATTCTTAAACTAAAAGATGTTTGCAATATCGATATCTATAATTTTTGTTTTTTTACATGATTTCTCTAAAATTTTTCAGCATTTTCGTTGGCAATGAGTGTATATAGAAAAATGTTTCGAGTTAGATGTATGTGGAAAATGTATATATTAAGTTAACCTCTAAATATTTACAGAGGTGCTACAATAGGTTGTACAAAATAACCGAAAAAAGCCTGTAATAACTAGATAGGAAAGTCATGTGTTGGACACATCAGATTTTTTCTCATGCATATTGTTTAGTATTCGTTATGAATATACATAGTCAACGAAACCAACACATGTTGTAGCCTATTATACATAGGGTATCCCATTAGAGCGTAATTGAAGGCAAAAGTGGATAAAGGTGTCTTGTCACATTTTTTCAAAAAATGATTTTTATGGCATAAAAAATTTATATCATAATGCAATTGTAAAACTTAAGACTTGTTTTTCACGAAATAATCTTTTTGTGACATGACACCTTTATCCACTTGTGTCTTCAATTGTAAAATAACTGTTTTATTATTGACGACTGTATTTTAAAATTATTCTTAAATACCTATAAAGGGTAGTCAACAAATGAGGGGCGAACCAAACTTATATTTTTTGAAACCAAACACTTCATAAATATTTTTTTTGATTCTGTATACTTGTCCCGTTCTATCAGCATGACATATCTCTATGATATGCAGGGTGATTTAAATTCCGGAGGCATTTTTGTCATAATAGTAAAATTAAATATATTATAACAGATAACTGGTCCAAGAATGATGTTTTCCTTAGTAAGCGCAGTAAGAGTAATAATAATAATCAAAGGAAATA